CCCGCTCCTGCCCCAGGGGCAGGGCATCTGGGGCGGCCCGGAAGGCCCCCCAGTGCCGCGGCGCCGTGGCCGCGTCCCCTTTACACGTCGACGCCCGGCCCCGTGTCGGGGTCCGGATGCCCTGACTCTGCGGGAATCCCCTTGGGGTCCCCTGGGGGGTGAAGGGGGCGCCCCATGGGCCAACAGCAGCAGCAGGGCGGGGGAGGGGGGGAGTGGGCTGCTGGGGGGCACCCAGCCGCACCGCCCAGCCCAGGCCGGCCCGGCCACCCACCGGCTGGCACCACGCGAGGCTGCCCGGCCTGCGATGGCCGCATCCGTGCTGGCGGCCGTCCACCGCCAGTGTCCGCCCTCACTGTGCCAACTGCGGGGCCCTCACTTGGGGAGCAGCTGCCCTAGAGGCCAGCAGGCGGGTCAGTGAGGGACTTTGCCCCTGGCCAGAGGGGACACCTGACTCCCTGGACCGGCTGCTTGCCCACCCCCACCAGCCCGGCCGCGCTGGACACCAGTGGGCGGCCCTGCCCCTGTGCCGCTCCCCGCGGCCCCTGCGTGCCTGGCGGGAGCCACGCCGCCCGGCGAGGTCGGCACCCGGAGGCAGCCGGGGCTGAGATCCAGCCCCGGACCCGCCCTCCGTGTCTCACAGGAGCCCCAAGCGCAGGGCAGGGGCGTGGGACAGGCATGGAGTGACGGTCAGAGCTGGGGACACCTGCGGGAGCACCAGAGGCCCCGTGCGTGTGCGTCGTGGGCACTGGAGGGGCCGCGGGGCGAGGGGCTGCCCTGCCCGCTGTGCCAGCAGCCGACTAGACGGTGCCCGCCCACTCCCAGGGGCTGGGGCCTGCGCGTTCGCAAAGGCCCAAAGCACTGGCCTCGGCCCGCTTCCTGGGCCTTTCAGCGGCGCTGGCCACCTGCCCCAGCCCCGGCCACGTGCTTTGGGGGTGCTCACGGCAACCCCCTCTCCTGGGGTTCCCCGCGCCCGCAAACCTGCTCCAGGGTGAGGGGACCAGGGCTGCGCTCACCGCTGCCCCTCTGCGTGGGGCAGAGCTTCCCCGGCCCAGCAGGACGGTGCCCGCCCAGAGTGCCCCTGCCCGCCCCAGGCCGGGCGCCGTCACTGCCAAGGTCACCGGTGCTTGCGGGCACCTCGCTGCTGCTGGGAACCCCGTCAGTGCGGAGCCGCGGCCGCCCGTGCGCTGGCCTCCGGAGGAGGCTGCGTCCAGGGCCGGAGCCGCCCGCTGCCTCGCGGCCTGGCGGGGGCAGGGGTCCGAGGGGACCCTGGGGTGCCGGCCCCCCGCCGCTGCCGCTCGAACCCCTCCCCGAGCACCTTTGCTGGCTGAGTCCATGGCGCTGACAAACCAGAGCACTGTCCAGTCTCGAGTCCTTCACACTCTGCAGCATGTCCACTAGACAAGGGCCCCGTGGGGCCACAGGCTGAGCGGACGCACCGCCGTGGACGCGCTGTCCTCGGTCTCCCGGAGGCGGCGGCAGGGCCAGCCGGCAGAGACCCTGGCCGGCCCCGG